GTTACATTCATTGTAATATTTATCAATTTGATCATTATCACGCTCTCCCTATATGATTTTATTAATACAATTATTCGACTGAGCTAATTTTGGTGTTACAATATTGAAATTACACTCCATCCAAAATATGAAACTGAAATAGAGTTTCTCAATTCAGAAGTTTTGTCGCTCAAAAACTCCTTACATATTATCTCAAATAAATATGCATCGGCTCAGGTTGAGATAAAAGAACACATATTGGCCATGAATGATCTGGTAAAGTCATGTAAATACAATGAGGAGCGCTTTGACTCCTTAATAAAACATCAGAGGGAGAATCAACGCTCCATACCATGTTCATCAGGGACAATATGTGTAAATAGCAATGACTCCTTACTTTCACCAACACTCTATGACAGTGCCACAACAAAGAATAAAACCTTAAAAAGTAGTTTAAATATTAAAAAACATAAATTTATTATGTATTGTGATGACATATGTAAAAATTTGGGCATGATGTTAAATAACCATTTAAAAGGACAATTGATTAGTAATTATTGTATGCCTGGAGCATCCTTTAGTCATATAATGAATAAAGTTTTAACTAGTAAGTTTTATCCTAATAGCACATTAATAATTCTTGTTGGGAGAAGAGGCAATGTAAACAAAAATCAATTATTAAAATATATTGATTACCTCAATACATTAAATGTACATAAAATTATCTTGTTTACATTGCCTTACATACAGGGTTGGCCACAGGAGAATAAAATAAGATATGATTTAAATTTATTAATAAATAATTTATCATGTAACAATAATTTAAATTTGATATTTAATTGTGACAATTATACCAATATAATTAATTTAATAGATATTAATAATTTAATTAAGATGTTTTTGACTACAGATACGTTTTACCTACCCAAATATAATTTAAGACAGATAGCAAATATGCTATCTTATTATTTATATATTAACTCAGTCAAGGACTTGGCTACCCAGACATCTGCTCCTATTGAGCAGTATAATGATTTGACATGTAGTTTGGAATCGCTTCCAAGTAATTTAAATTAGAAAATGAGACAATAGAGGTAATCTCTAGCAGTTATAATAATTTAAATAATTTAGAATGTAGCTTACAAATCCTTAATAGTTGCAATTGTATAACTCCACAAAATGGTAATAAAAATTGTTTAAACCTGGTGCATCAGAATATACAAGGCATGATAGGCAATGAGCGAGAAATTGAATTGTTCTTAAATAGCAACAATATTCATATTTTATGTATTACTGAACATTGGTTAAAAGCTCAAAATTTAATGTTTAACTTCAGTAATCACCAGGTAGTCAGTTCTTTCAATAGAGAAACAATTTTAAGAGGTGGCTCCTTAATTTTAGCTAGTAAATTATTATCATGTAAAGAACGTAAAGATATTGTGAGTCTCTCTGTTGAGCGAACTGTAGAAATGGCATGTGTTGAGTTTGAGCACCTCATTAGTGTGATCATTTAGCTCGATTTTAATCGCCGTAAGCCTGTTTAGGCTTCTACACTTCACTATGGTTACATAAGGAAACACAGCTTTTCTCCAGAGAAGGGCCACACCTTCGTATGGTTGCCCGCGTAACACACCCTCCGCAGTATCGACAGCTGAGGTGCCCGCGAAAGCGAATTCACTGTCGATGGTTCCTAGGAAAGCGAGGTCGTGTGATAGCAGCCAGGTCTCCTGTAGGGCGACCACGTCCACTAAGTGACATAGCCGTCGCACACACTCCACTGATCGAACTACGTTCTTACAGTTAAAACTAATTTGGTGTAACCTATTTTGAAAGTTGATTTTTCACCCCGGCCTTGACGGCACTTCCTTTTTCACGATATTTGAAGTCAATAAAACGCCTATAGGCTACTCCTTCCAGCCAAAGGGTTTCTGACATAAATACATTCAATTTATGTTCGGGTACAAATATTTTGTATGACTCGTAATCTTTTGTTATTTTCATTTTCATCTTTTCTACGTTGACGTCAAATTTACTCTTTTTCTTTACGTAATCAGTTATATCAGTCACAGACACTCCCTTTGCCACATTATAAATGTATACCGGGACCTTAATCTCTGCCGCTCTGAAAGTGTCTCCAGGCTTTGAAATAGCCTTCCCTCTGTATCCAGAAAAACGATTCCGCAACCTTTTCTTTTGAACCTTTATCCACTCATCACTACTTACTTCTGATCTCCAATTACCTTCGCGGACAATTTCTGACATAGACTTTACATGCCTTTCACTATGACTTTAATTTCAATTCCATGTCCCGAAATATTGATTCTCGTAATGAGATATCGTTTATATCATTAGGCCCTTCACTAGGTAAGGGAGGAAATCCCATAGGACCACTTCGGCACTCGAAGCTATTTTGTAAGAAACCTCCGCGACGCAAGTTAATGTTGCGCCCATAGTTATTTACCACCGATGTATCCTTAAGAATATTAACCTCAGACTTCAGCCGGTCTAAGTCCTTCTGCTTCGCACAGTCCTTCATAATCATGCTGATATCTCGTTGCATTTTGACTTTGTCTTTTAGAATTCTCGTCACATCTACATGGTCCCATAAGACGGGAGGGAGTTTTTCAAAAGCCCTAGCATTAAACACGGGAATATCTTTGGAATGTGTACTCCGTAGCAGACAGATGATATCTTCCAGATCCTTCCGAGCCTTGCCGTCCTTTTTTCGAGTATCATTTCTCCGATGTATTTTGCGCGTCTTTTCGGGGATCGAATCAAACAACAAGTTCTTTGCCGTTTCAATATCACTTTCTGAGAAAGCACTCACACATATGTTTATAAGACTTTTGTCGTCCATAACATCTTTTTTGTTATCGATAAAAGCTAGAGTCTCGTTTATTACAATGTTGCAAATCGAACATTTCAACACCTTTGAGGACATTTTAAATCCTTCGCACACACAACACGCACAACGGACAGCGCGACCGGGTAGATGCGCGAGCGGGTGCGTCGCACGACTGGCCAACAACCTTGTAAAAAAAGAAGGTAAAAATAATATATAATTATATATTATTATAGCTACCTTAATTTGTACATTTTGAACGTCACATTTACAAAGCGTTCAGCTTTAAAAATGTTGTTCATATTTTAGGACTCTCTCCGCTAGTAATTACTCTAAAGGTTTTTCGCATATTTTTTTACTAAGATTTAATTAACAAATTGATTAGATAAAGGGTTGCTTTAAACAAAATTATAAAAATCTTTATTCCGTAGCGCAAATAACTGTTCTTTCCTTTTTTGATGAGTTGTGTTTCTTATTCTTTCGTTGGTATGAATTGATGGAGCTACTTCGCACTAACTGGTTGATAATATATATGAATCCAAACTTTAGGAAGACAGTCATTTGTAGAAAAGTGTCAAAATTAAAAATTTTGTACAACCGACATCAATACGACCGAATCAATGTTAAAGTTAAAAGTTACAGCTTATATGAGTACGTTTCACTCCTGGGCACAGGCCTCCGCGCATTTCTGAGAGGGTTTTAGTACAAGAAATGTTCCTGCACTGCCGAGCACGTGGTAAGTCACTACTTAAAATTGCAATTAACAATTTCATTAGTGTCGTCAAGGATCAAACCCAGTTTGCTCGCGTACTGCGAAATTTACAGCGTTTTACGCAGTACGCGCAAATTTACAATTCGTGTAGTAAGGACCAACTTACAAGCCTCGAACGAGCGCGCTTTGAGCGTTTAGTTGGTGTTCGACTGTGCTCCGCCTACTATTGGTTTTTTGACGAACACAACGGAATTTGCTTCGCATGCATCAAATGCATGTTGTGGGCTCGTTGTACGTCTACACTTGACACCACGAGTAGAGCGGCTCAGCTTATGCTCCGCTCGTGGTCGGCTCCTCCAGCGTAGACCCTCCTCAAGAAATCAAAAATACGAAAAGTCCTTTCGCTCATATTTTACGACCAATCACATGTTAGATAAGATTGGGTATACATCCGATACCGACACCGATATATTGGCGATACTCGAAGTTTGCCGATATATCGGCATCGGCGAAATTTTTATGGTGGATTCAACGATGCTTTTCAAATTTTGCGCTTCAAAAATGTAACGTAAACGTGCGTGTTGTCTCGTCTAATTTGTTGCAAACGAAACTGTATATAGTTTTAAACGGTTTTATTTAGTTTTATCTATTAGTTATTTTATATAACCGATATTTTATATATCGAAAATAACCGTAGACAGAGAATCCTAGGATTCTCTGTCTACGGTTATTTTTATGTTTTTAAAGAAAGTACCTGACTAGTGTTTTTTTTTATTTGAACGTCATTTTTGAATTCAAGAAGCGTATCGATATCGGTATCGCCGATATTTTTAAAAGACCTTCGGTATCGATATCGTATCGGCAAAAGGGAGTATCGAGGCTTTCATAGATAAGATTGTAAATATTTTAATGTACATTTTGATTGTTTATAAACTTTGTACACTTAGTTATTTTTTTATATATAAGGAGTCACATTTGTACAATAAATTATTCTACTCTAATTTCAAAATTTTCATTTATGATTCCACAACCAAAAAATGGTAGCACATGTACAATTTTTACGTTGTTGATAAAATAAAAACCAACTTTTCAAGATCTATGTAGTAAAATAAGGCTTACTAATAAACAATCTCGAAATGGTTTTAAAATCAGAATGGCTTATAGTTTTCTTTATACCTACTTACCTACTTTACAATTGACTTAGCAACAACTATCTTATAAATCGTTGATATAATGATAAAATTGTGTACCATTTCAATTTTTATGGTACCTAAGGATAAAAGGTGAGAAAGGAAATACATAGCAACATGTATAAAAAATTGTAAAAATTGTAGGTATAAAACGACTTATTTTTATTACAACTGATAAAACATAAAATCAATAAAGTGTGTTACTACAATAATACAGTGTTACTCATTATCTTTATCATGGTTATTCAATCTCGGCCAAACGTCAACCATCTGAAGATTATTTGTGACACACAAATTTATGCACGTTCCAATCGCCAGACTGCAAAAAAAGAAAAACTGTATCAGATATTTGTCGAAAAACATTTAAGATTTCTCTGCCGTATCTCACTGACTTTATGTCACCTTTGCAACGATTATTCCAACTAAAACGATGAAATAAATAAGTAAATGACTTCTTTTTTTTTTACTGGCAAAGTTCAAAGTACTAAATTCAATAATACATTCAAATCTATCTTCATCATCATCATTCATCATTACGGCCTTTCACAAGTCCACTGCTCAATAAAGGCGTGGAATACCACAAATCATGGTCCTGGGCCACACGTAGTCATCCAGTGGGAGTGGTAGTGTACGTGTAACATTAATGCTTACGTATATGTACGATAGTAAGACAATAAGTTGATATTAAATCTACAGTCAAAACCATTTATTCCCCTAACCTCCCAACATTACATTGCGACCCTGCCTGGCGGTAAGCTGCTACAATGCAAGCGCAGCAGCACGCCGGGAACTGCATGGATGATAAATTAGTAAATTGAAGCACCCGCATGAAATGAAGTGAATTAAAACTACGATTCCCGATATCTAATAAATAAATAAATAAATAATATATAGGTTAATAGCTAGAAAGAAATAAAGCTAGCTAAAGGTCAATAAAATATTAAAACGAAAAAGAATTATGAAGAAAAATTATAATAAATGAATCCCCGAAGCGATATCAAATCTATAAAGTTAGATAGGTAGTTATTTTTAATTTCTGTATTAAGAGGATAGAGTAAGTCAGCTCAAATTCTAATTTCGCCCCCACTTCCCCGCGCGTCGTATGCTATGTACCGATATGTTTGTAATCACTAATACTGTAAGTAGAAAGGTCGTTAGACACTTATTTCATTAGGTTTATCATATTTATGCCTGTTTCTTAACGCCAAGCCAGCCGCTTCTTATTTTTATCACGGTTATATCCCATTTTAATTTTACGTCGTACTGTTGCGTAATGTATATTCTGATCGTAAGCGACACAACTTCTCCCTTCAAAAGCCTAAGCGATACTAACGGTGCGACAGGAATCAAGCTCAAGACGCCGATAGTTTAGGTAATTTCTTTTTACAGTGAAAATAATGGTATTTTAAAAAAAGTAAACAACATAAGCACTGCTTTATAGTTAGTTCAGTTAGTATGCAAAGTTTCATGATCTTATTTAAAGTATTTTATGAATAACAGCGGTTTATTGTTTATTTTGGAGGTGAATTTGGATTTTTTTTCTATCGAGAAAATTTTACGAAATCGTGTTTTCGTCTAACATAATCATTAACATTAATCCTCAACTTTACCATATATTTTTTTCAAAATTAATGCTGCAATATTTTCGGCATAACGAAGGATCTTGCTAAGCCATTTGACATTATATTTCCCCTTAAGGCTATTATTAATGCTACCCAAAATGCTACCAATAAGTTACACATCATGTAATAACTATTGGATCGATTCACACAACTAGACGTAAGCTAAAAAATACTATTTTTTTTATTTGAAATTTTTGAGATTCGCATGAGATTATTAATAAAAACAAAATAAAATGTTCTGGCAAGGGGTGAAGTAATAAGTGATATACTGTTGCCATTTTTATATATTTCAAATATTTATTTTTTATAATATATATAATATTATTTTTAGTTAACGCGTCAAGGAAGGACAAAGAAATAAACATACACACTTTCTCATTTATAATATTATTAATTTATTTATTATACACTTTATTGCACTATAAAAAGTGTTACAGATTCGTACATAATATTGTCTTTCCTCCCATCTTTTTTTAAAAATAAGAAAGGCGGAGTAACTCCTAAGCGTCACAAGAAAACGACACAACACAACGTCCAAACTTAACAATAAAACAACGCAATTAACAACAAACAGATAAAATAACGTTCAAGTATAACAAAAACAAACAAAAGTCCAAACCAAACAACAAACAATTATCAAAAATATCGAACTAGAGTCGAGATGCGTATCCGTAACAAAAATGCTATCGGTACTGAGCGCGCACGGCCAGCGCGGGAAGCGGTGCGGGGAGTCGGGAAGGGGGTCGCATTCCAGCGGAGTCTCAAGTTAATTCGTACGAGTTGTATATTGCTTATTAAAATCAAGTCCAAAGTGTACGATACGCTTTTGTTAAAAATTAGTAATGCAATACTTTTTTTTCTTTATAAAAGGCAATGAAACCTAAAATTGTGTTATATAAATTGTGTTATCTGCTAAAAATATAATTGTCTTTATTAATGTTATGTTATGTAATATTTTGATAAACAAACTTTAGCTGTGTACCCAAAAGTGTATTTTTTATATAAATTTCTGTTTTAATTCAGCTAAACATATACCTTACAAGTCGTGATATAATGAGTTTTCGAAGTTATAAATAACTTAAATAATAAATATTTGTTAATGCACCTTTGTAAAAATATTATAAACATTAAATGTAACAATCTATATTTAGAGGTATAAACTATAAGGCAAAATAAAATAATTTTATTCACGATATCATTTTAATGCGTTGTTAAAGTTAGGTACCATTATACGACGTAATCAAAAAAACGTTCCCACAAACGTACTTAGAAATAAAAACGAAGGTGTCACAAACCGCTTACGCGGCTGGGATTGCAGGTTGTATTTTGATACCGTTGTTAAATTAATGATTCTGATTATGTTGCACAAAGACCGCCGTAAGACAACAACTAGCAGTCATGCGCGTATAAGGTGAATGATAAACAGTACAAAGAAAAGATTCTTTTGACCGAGGTTAGAGAAGGATATTATTACTAATTATGTAAATCGATGTGACGAGTGTTTGCGACATAAACACTTAAATAAATATATAAAGGAACCAATGGTTATAACTAACTAACATTGGTTTTAACTATTGGTTTCATTTTTGATAGATTGATATTACACTTTGATAGAGTTATTTAGATTTAGTAGGACCCTTATAAAAGGATGGCGATAGTAATATTTTTAAACTCACACTACCGTGTGATTTAAGTATGTTCAAGCTTATCCACATAAAAATAAAGATACTACTTCAATGGCATTTACTTTTTTTACCTTTTTAAAGTTTATTCAGGTTTAAATTGAAAAATATATTATAGTTAAGTTCAAGAAAATCATAAAAATTAACATTCTATATTTTTTTAACTGCATTTTCATGTCTAGTGTATTAATACTTAATAGGTATACATGAAAATTTTAAAAGTATTACAGAAATAATTTAGTCAAATTATTTTATGGTAGGAGTATCCATATATAAACTTATGTGTAAAACTCCGATATTAATATATTTATAATGATCGATATATCGAAAATCCACTATTTTAAAAAATATCACCAGTTTTAGTTTGAACTGATCAGCTGGAATGATCAGTTGAACTGACCGTGTGTGGCGACCATTACATAGAAAGAAAAATGTTTGTAATTCTATATTTTTTATTTTTAAGGCGATGGGCGTGCTCTCGTATGCTAATGTATATGTATGATAAATTAAAAGATATTTAGTTAGCATTAAATCTACAGTCAAGTCCACTAAACGTGTTATTTATTCCTCGAACCTCCCAAAATTACAGAGTATATAATAAAGTAGCAAGTAAATGAATTTTAATAACCTTCAATGATTATTTTATTTAGAAAAATGTTGAAGATGAAACCAAGATTTGGTTATATTACATTGGATATTATTTTATAACGCTAATGAATAAAGATTTTTAAAATATTTTTAGAGCAGACCAAATGGTTAAACAGTAATTTGAAAAAAAAAAACGACGTAAAAATGTTTATTACACATTTGACCCTTATAATAAAAAACTAAAACCCATCAAACATTCCTAGTTCCTTCCTAGCTTCTGTTACTCAAATTAACCTTTTACAGGAGCTAGGGTCACATTGATATGTATAAATTCTTTTTGTTGCAATAAAGGTTACTAAAAAAAGAACAATTTTCGTACGATTTACCAGTGTTCATATACATTAAAACCTTTAGTTTGTTCAATTTTATAACGACAGCGTGATCAAATTACCTGATGTTTGAGCACTATTGTGTCTTCAACTCTATGATCAGTTTTCAGTAGAAACACCAATTATTTAAATAAATAAATTTTTGTCAGAATGGTCCACATTTTTCAATAATTACTCACAATACACCTAATTCTCTTTAATATCATTTTATGGTGTAAGTGTATGCTTACATTAATACTTAACACAATAATCATCTTATTCTTCTTTAATATCATCAGCCAATAAAGGTCTACTGCTGAACATCAACATAATCCTCCCTATGGGAGGATTAACCTTAATTGTCACGCTTTGCAAGTGGGTTGGTAACCGTAGTCCTACTAAATGTCTCTCACAGAGAGTCGCCGGTGTAGATATTTAACGTCTGGCGCCAACGTTACGGTTCCACCGCCATCTATCGGAAGTCATAATATTTTTTTGGTATTTCCCATAGTTGCCTCTTACATCGCCCAAGCATTGAAAAGGGTTCATGGATTCTACTGTGACGTCACAACACGTCTACACATTATCCTTACAACAGTAAGTTTTCACTTTTATCGAAATCAGCTAAAAGAAGAGACAATTTGTAAGAAGAATAGATTTTATATTAAAACACACACTAATTACCTGACAAGCTTCAGAACAGTAGTATAATTTGTAACAGCCTACACACATTAGTTTTGTTATTTTTCCACAAACGTGACATAAACGAAGTATTGCATTCGTAGTATTAGGCATATATGTGGTCACATTTGACACAGTCATAGAGGTTGTCTTCGACAAGCATTGATCCCGAATTACATCGTACTGTAAAGAAAATATTTTAATTTATATTTGGTTTACGTAATATGTATAAGAGAAATAATATCAATACAAAAAATAAGCTACCGTTGGTTCCGATAACGGGTTAAATATTATTGGACTCATAAAACCGCTATCTCTGGATATGGAACATCTATTGGCGTCTTGTGAATCTGATTGTTTGCTTGTTTCATACTCATTACTGTTTCTTGGCGTAACCCTGCTTTGCATATTATCTTGATAAATCACTGGTGGCTGACTAGAATATTTGGCACATGGATCTTCTAGTATTCTTTGAGTATCGATCCGCCTTTCTTGTATGTTCCTTATCGGAGTGTTATTAAAACCAATACTTTCTTTAGCATTACAATTCACTATATTCGATAAGGGAACACTGGTTTGCACATTATGATTTATGGATTGCATTTCATTAAGGCAAGTTGTACGGCATTGTGCAGTAACATGATGAGTTTTGGGATTTATAAATTTCGGATCAACACTTATGTTAATCTCATTTCCAGGTGGTCCAGACGAAAACAAGTTGATTTTATCAAAATCTTTAGTTTGACTTTCACTTTCAGGTCTTCTTATATGATCAGAAATATTTTGCGACAGTGATTTTGAAGGCGGAATCACCCTCAGGAGGGGATGAAAGTTATTCATATTCTGGTTTTCTTTAATTGCACGAGACGAATGTTCTTGTTTCTGTTTAGTCCATTCTAATAAATCAAAATATAGATTTCTGAGATTATTATACGAGATATTCATTTTTCCTTTGGCCATCTGAATTGTCCTAAACAAAAAGCTTTCGATAAAACATTTATTTCTTTCTTGAGGTAAAAGTATCAACTCAGATATTGTTTGAGATTTATTAAAATAGTAATACTTGATGCGTAAATAATTCGTTCTTAGGAAATCGGAGTATTCAGAAGTAAGATTATCAACAGAGTTATTTAATGTTTTGTAGTAGTTAGTGTAAGCTTCCATAATCAAAATCATATTTTTTGCTACGAGGCCCAACATCATATCTGTATTAATTTGTTGATTGGGTTTATTACATTGATTTAATCCTGTGTTATTAATTAAATGCATTGTTGTATATTCCATATGATTATTACGGGTCTGTATTAATGAAGGATTTTTGATAGTGCCAGTTTTTTCTAAACCTTTATTTTGTTTTGATTTTCTTTCACCATCATTATTAACTCGCTTTTTTAATTTCTTATTACTATTATTTAATTTCTTCTTGATGCCATTAATAAGTTTTTCATGTACGTTGGTATTAGTATTTTTGTTATTTTCTTTCACATTTGTGTCCGTAGTAGAGTTTTCTATGTCATGTACCTCTTGGCAATCATTATCTTCTTCACACTCATCAAAAATTATCGTAACATTAATTGGTTTGTTAAAATTATATTTATTCATCTCAGTGATCGTATCTAAAAATATAATATTAACATATTAATTACTTTAGTCATATAATAAAAACTAGTTTAAATAAGGTAACCGGGTAGTGACGGGTTAAGAATATCCACTACCCTATATTGTTACGTGAGTACCGCAATAGGCGACAGAGGGAAACTGAACCAGGAGATGCACAGCAACATTTTCTTAATAGCAACTCAAAGTAATTAAATATGCGGTTGCCAACTAGTCTGCCAATCGTGGCAACTTTGACAGTTACCCCTATCAAGCAATCTATGGTAGAAGCTCCCATAATATGGACTTTCATAGGCTGTGATGGATGGATAAAATAGACGTTTAACTTCTGATATAATGAATCATCTGATAAAATCATTAATTTTAATTAGCATGTCAACCTCATATCTCAATCTCATATTTGTTAGGGTGTATTATGCAATAGATAAATAAATGACTGTCGCTTGTAGTGGCATATGGAAAATAGTTTCACTATTCCTTTTTAACTTATTATCTAAACCTTATATGTGTTATAAACTTAAAAAATGTTAAAAATCGATTTTTCATAAGAAGATATATAAAACATTTTTGCGTAAAATTTCAACATAAACAAGTTATAATTTCTCAATCTTTTTTTATATTTTCTTCTTTTGATTTTATAAATTTTCAACATTTGGTTATTCGTGTCTTAATGATATGCAAATATGGAGAATAATGTGCTCTATTAAATGCAATCATTTTGATATTACATGACTACAAACATTTAAATGTTATTAATATGTGTAGATGTAAAATGTATATATGCAAGAATATATATGTATGTATGAATGCATAAAATAAATACATACTTGTTTTTATACTACTGCCATGGTGAGGCTCTATTATGATTGTAGCACAAATGGTTCGGCTTGACCGTGAAGGGACCACGCTCTCATAGAATAATTAATGCTGCTGAGTTTTGTATCGTGAGTGTAGACAACCGGAAAATCTTTTTACTGGAAACGAGTAATTCCATCTTAGTCCTCACGGGGTGACAACGCATCTGCATTTTGGATAGACGTACGACGTAGATATGTATCTATAGTGGACTTTATACCCTTTTGTTACCCTTATTCTATAAAAAAGCACATTTGATACAACATGCAATCCGGCACCTCATGAACAGCAGTCGCACTACTACAATAACTAGATCAACGAGGCAATCATGATATCGCGAAGAAGAAGAAGCAGAAGCTCGGGTTTGACCAAAAATCAGTTATTTAGTTTTTCCGTAAAGAAATTCTCAGTAGCTGCCAGGAGTCGGGAAGTTGGCGGTGTCTCACACCCGTGCCTCGGAAATACCGTAAAACCATTGGATCTCTCTCTGGTTATATTGGTTTACCGTCCCATTGGACTATGGGAGTGAGGGAAAAGAGAGTGACACTATAATCGTGTCCTACGCCGATGCTAGTCTCCGTTGAGGCAGGCCGCCGTAACCGAAATTCGGACTGGAGGACTTATTATTATTATTATTTCTTACAATGCAATAAAATTCAGCAAATTATGCGCGATCTTTGTATAGTTTCAACTAGAATCAATGGTTTAGTTAAAATTAAAAATTAGTAATTTATCAGTCGATATGAGAGAACGTACCTTCAGTTACTGTCTGCGTACTCATCTTAATGAGTAATTATTATTTCCACCTGAAAACAAAAATATTGTGATTGTGAATTAAAATGTATGTACATAATATATATGTAACATAGCGTGATTATATATAAGATATACGTTATATAATCAAGTATACTTTTGATCAGAGCTTTAGACTCCTGCAACTGCATGCAACTTGGTAAATTATGAGAATACTGGTCAGCATTGCTTTCATTTGTTTTACAGCACATGAGCCTGAACCAACAACAGTTTTAAAGGTAACCTATTACTGGATTATTTATTTTACATTTGCAATCCATCCCTTGAACTGTACTGATATGTTATATATTTAGTTCAAGATAAAAATGCATTAATTAAATTTATTGACTAATGATTTACAATTTTACTACTATAATTAACAATACATTTTAGTAAAGGGTAGGAACGTCGATGTCGCAGCCAACTTGCTTAATCAGCCTTTCAGTTAACAGCCTAGCCCTTTAACTAAACGGCGCCGTTCAACTAGCTGCTTAAATGATATTCAGCCGTCATTCGTACTATACGGTGAAACAGCGCCGTTCAACTAGCGGCTTGAATAACGATTAGCCCATGCAGTTCATCCAATGCGTTTAATACATTTCATACCTAATAGTGTACTATCCGCCATATCATATAAATTACACGGCTTTGCCAGCCCAGCCGCACTTGTTAAACATAAAAGGGTTAGTTAGCAGTTTATTGAACTATTTTTTATAAATTTTTGGAAAACACCATCAAATTTGTTTTTGCCGACGCCAATCAACAGTTTGGAAGTGTTTCAGCACTAAGTGGCAGAAAGTGGAACAAAATATGTAGGTAATGAACAGGCTAGGCAAATAATTAAACATCATCTATCATCAGTATCATTCAGGCCGCTAGTTGAACGGCGCTGTTTAGTAAAGAAGCTAGGCTGTTGATTGAACGGCTGATTAAGCTAGTTGGCTGCGACATCGACATCAGAAAAGCACGTAATGAAATTGCCTTCAAAATACCACCTTCTAAGAACACTAACTTCCTAAAGATTTTTTCTAACTTTATTTACGTTTACTATTGTTATTATTCATGTTTATTTGTATATATTAATATTTTATATGAAAGATATTTTTACGTATTAATTATATTTAATTTCCTGCTATTAATCTTTATATATATTCTTGTTATCTTATTTTAAGGTTTACGCAATAAAGTTCTTTAAATTAAATATCGATAAAGTAATGAGATATGTGATCTAATATGCAGATTTCTTTTTATATGAGAGGATGTCATTTTTCAATTTCGTATATTTCTATATGACACAATCTATTCGTACTTAAGAAAATTACTTTATAATATTAATTGTTTACTATTTTCGCTGTAAGTTCCACAGTATGTACATACTTAGTAGTAAGTACAAGTCATAAGTACTCGTAACTTGGGTTCAAATTTCGCACGCATCAATTAAATTGTAAATTACAATTTTAGGTGCTGATTTTCAAGTGTTTCATGGTAAAGGAGAACATTGTAAGGAAACCTACGTGTTTAAGGAATGAAATATTTCGAGAACATGGTACAAGAAGTTCTCTAATAAGTACCTACTGGAGCAGCTTGGCGGGTTAATGTATAACTGCTAAATAACTCAACATAAGTTGGAGGTAAGCTGAGCACAGCCGACCCCTAACATAATGATTTTGGGACATTAAAAGCCAATTAACTAATATTTTGTAATGGTACTATTTCCAGTATTATTTTACATACATAATTATATGTATGTAAAAGTCAACTAACTAATATTTTGTAATGGTACTATTTCTGGTATTATCTGGTAATATTTTGTAATGGACTGTAAAATAATTAACAATAGAACAGCAAAGTTTATTAAAATGTAGTATTTTATCGGCTGTTTTTGACATTCATCTTTACTTTTTAAATTATATATAAAATTAAAAAAAATCGGGCTTCCATTAAGATTTGATTATAAAATAAATATAAGATATAAATTATGTCAGACATTTTTCAATTCATATGTGTAATGTACATTACAGGAGTAGTTTACGCTGTAGAGCTATTCCGCAGCTATGTTAAAGTTGTAGCAGAAATTGGTCGGCTATGTACAGAAAAAGTGAATGCATTTTCTTGTTAAAATACTTTGCACTAGCTGTCGGACTCATTCAAAGGATATTATGCAGTTTTTAAAATAAGAACTAATTTACTAAATTTCATACATGTTTAATGACATACCATACATGATGTGATAATATGAGGTAACTGATATAGGTGGCAAAATTTAAAATTTTGTACATTATTTCATCATACCGACTTCAATATAAATAATATGAGAACATCTACACATACAGGATTATTAAATATATCATATTTAATAATCCTGTATTCGTTTATTTACATATTTACAAACCTATAATATAAAATACAAAATGAAATAACATAATTTGTAAATAGACAAGAAATTAAAACCATAAGCAACATTAAAACACTACTACCCATAAACAAAAAGTTAAAATTAAAATCAGGATAGGCATTGTAAAACAAAATAATATATAAACTAAATATAAATAAATAAATTCACATATTATATTTATATTGGGAAGGTACTTACATAAAATAGATACGATTAGACCGCTGGACGGAAAAATTGCTAGTGCAATATGTTATCTATAAAAATATATATTTTACAGACAATAGTTTGTATGCTTGGTTTAATTTTTGAATGTTCATTTAAACTAATTAGCCAACTCACAAGCACCAATCTAATACTTCACTATAGCTAACTCTATTGAGCTGCACTACCAGCACGATTCACAACCTTCCCCAAGCAGAACGCAGGAAATACTAGAGATGTGCCCCTCACTCATGAGGTGCCTCGTTTGAGGTACTCGTGATCGCAAATTGAAAGAGTTACTCGATTTTTAACATTGAACCACCTCACTCGTTCACGCTTCCTCACTTAAAAATTGACATAGACATTATTGACGCGAGTACTCGCGACTCACGAGCATCGCGACTGAATGATTGAGTAAGCTTAGTGAGCGAATGAACCGACTTAGAAATCCATATTTACAGTACAGAATAAATTAGAGAATGAGTGAGGTGAGGAATCGAAATTTTGAAAACAGTAAACATTATGATTATGTTATGTACTTAATGAAATATAATGTGTGTGTGTGTGTGTGTGTGTGTGTGTGTGTGTGTGTGTGTGTGTGCGCGCGTGCGTGCGTGCGTGTGTGTGTGTGTGTGTGTGTGTGTGTGTGTGTGTGTGTGTGTGTGTGCGCGTGTGCGCGCGCGCGCGTGTGTGTGTGTGTGTGTCTGTGTGTGTGTCTATGTGTGTGTGTGTGTGTGTGTGTGTGTGTGTGTGCGTGCGTGCGTGCGTGCGTGCGTGCGTGCGTGCGTGCGTGCGTGCGTGCGTGCGTGCGTGCGTGCGTGCGTGCGTGCGTGCGTGTGTGTGTGTGTACAATATCAACAATATCAACAATTACTTCACCACACGTGCACCTCCAAGGTCAACATAGGTAAAGTAACATTATTAGGTACTCAAAACGAATTAATAGAGAAAATATTTTTATTTCTGCTATTAATATGAATCTAAACTAATAAACTAAAAACTCTAAACGTTAACTATGAACTCTAAAAACATACGCATTCGATTGTTATTCAAGTGTCATTGATTCGTTTATTTTGGCGGTCTAAAATTTATGAGCGAAAGAAAGTTACGTGTAGTGTAGTAAAGGAGACGTAAAAATCGGAATCGTGAGTACTCGTGACTCGTGAGTCGACGCGCCCGTCCGCTCCGCTTGCCGCTGCCTCGGACAGTCGGCTGAGTTCGGCTCGAACTCGGGCTCGGCTCGTGAGGTGAATTGAATACGCTGACGTACGATACCTCGCCTCAAATGAGTGGTCCCTCGTGAGGAGCTCGCGAGGTAAAATGAGGTGCTCCCTCAACCTCATATAAAAATGATGAGTTACCCATCAGTGAAATACTAAGTTACAAGATTAAAGTTATACTAATAAAGACTTGGGGGTTGTGGAAGGTGGGAGGGGAGCGTACTGTAAAAAAACAAAAGCTCGCAATGTTATCGTAACGTAACGTAAACAAACACACTATAATATTTTATAAGTTTTAATTACAACAAGTACCTATTATAGTTAACAAAGAATTATATAAAAATAATTACGTTTTAAAACATTAGGTAGGTATATTTATGGACATTATTTATAAAATTAAATTATATATTAGTTTTATACCTTTTTTGTTTATACTTGACAGACATACGCTCCTGCTGATGAAATAGAAGCTTTCTTTTTAAGTCGTGCTGTCCTTAGTAATTAATAACTTTGTATCGGTATTGGGGTTGGTGACCCGTTTAACACCCTTTCGGAGTTTTTATTGATTTTATAAGAAAATATAATAAATGCAACAGGCAAGAAACTTGCATCATGTAAATGGCGCTTTAGACCGCTGGACGGAAAAATTGCTAGTACAATATGTTATCTATAAAAATATATATTTTACAAACAATATTTTGTATGCTTGGTTTAATTTTTGAATGTTCATTTAAACTAATTAGGCAACTCACAATCACCAATCTAATACTTCACTATAGCTAACTTTATTGAGCTACACTACCAGCACGAATCACAACCTTTGATTATATACATGTCTAGATAGAGTGTCCCGCTGCAATCGCAACAAAAACAACAGGCCAGATTTGAAACGCTTGTGTTCGTGTTACGCACACAAATAAGCGTAGCTTACACTGCGCGCGCACCACGTGGGAGCGTACTGAGTGATACAAGCCCTTGAATATTTCCCATAAAAATAGGGAAAAATATGATGTTTTGATTTTGAGATAATTATCTCTAATTAATTTTATTTTAAATTCAAATTCATTCAATTATGATTTTATTCATATATTAGGAGTTTGTGAATATGAATTGCTAGGTAAAATATATTTTAAATGAAAATTATATTGCTATTGAAGGTTATTTATTCTTAATATTCTACTTTGGAATTACTTAACAACAACATTATTACTTTTATAATTGTATTAAAAATAAACATTTAATTTTAGTTGTATGCTATTTTCAGCAGGAATCTTAGTGACCTTCTCGTTGAATTTGTTTTTTAAACAGTTTTCGTTTAGATGTCACATCCCGGTTGTTATTATCCAATTTTGTCTTATAGTAATATCTTAAATCCAAATATTTTTCCACAACCAGTCTTATTAAATTAACTTGATGCAGAAGGCCGCAGACATGATCAGTTTTCACTTCAAAATAATTAGTACCTCCAACAAATTGTTTCATTACAGTGGATACTATTTTTGCATAATTGATGGGCGTCATTATAAAATCTTGTTTAATAAACTTCCTTATAACACTTTCAGCAGTTTTACATACATGATATACATCATGAGAGGCGTAAATAAGTCCACCTTCATCACGCATATTAACCAATTTATGGTATTGCAATGGTTTATTTGATATGAGACTTTCAATGCAAGCGACACATTTTACCTGTTTACGTAAACATCTAACAACGAAACCTGCTATGTATCCAACAATTTGTTGTGTGTATTCAGATAATTGCGAATCATCTAATAGCTGAAATTTACTGCCTTCATGTTCATTAAAATTGTTGGCGATATTTTCACTCTCCTCCTCGTCGTCGTCATCTTTCCTCAACGATGAAACTGTCGCATTAATGCAACTAAGGGATGAAGAACACATAAGAATACTTATGTTTTCCAGTGGTACACAGTTTCCTGACGAAGCAGATTTAAGTTCCATATGGCAAAGTAATTTTTTGTAAATGCCTTTTAACTGGCGAGCATTCGGGTTATCATTATAGCCCCCATGCATCCGTATCGCACCAAAAAATAATTCTATGTGATCTTGACAGATGCGATACGTGGTCAGATATTTCATCCTTTTCGATTCTATTAAAGAATCATACAAAAATTTCAAGCTATTTATGCATATCAGAATACCAAGAAATCCAGTAAATGATTGTGATTTTAGAACTGGTACATAGCCTTTCAATACCAGTTTTTTTGATGTTTGATGTTCCTTATACGTTCTTTTTCTAGATTCTTTTAGGCTTAGATTTAAAATTAAATCTCTCGCGTCTTCTAACATCGCAAACACTTCATTTTTATTTCCTGGAAATAATGGATGCTTGTAACCATGTGCCTGTAAATTCCTAGAATTGAATGTATCAAAAATATTATTCATAATCATGACGAATTTTTCAGTTGCTTCGCTTTCCAAAAAATCTGGCAGCTGTAGCTCTTGTCTACAAAATTCTATTGCTACAGAAACACTTCTGCTAAGAAGCTGGGTTGCTAACTTAACGTTCATTATGGAGTTTCTGAATTGAATATGTTTTTTTGTAAGACGGTTGGCAAGATGCAAACCAGTTTCTTCTTGTAATTCGGCCAGCTTTTTTATATATTCCCATTTAATTTCATCATCTTTGTTTAAAAACACTTGCTTTGACTCAAAATAATTTCTGATTAATTTTAACATATGGCAGAAGTCTAAGAATACTGCCACCTCATAATCGGCACATGGGTGTTTAAATGTTGTTTTAAGGTCTTTTGTGTTTTTGTATTTGCAACCCAGCACTTCCATGGCTGATAAATTTGATCTATGGCCATCAAACGTCAATGACACGACGTCAACGCCTACTTCATGGCTTTTATATAATATAGTTTTAATAATATTAGCTTTTTGTTCCCCTGTCATGCCATGGACTAAAAAATAAGCCACTGGTAATTTCCAAGGCTCGTTTAGTGAGACAAGTAAAAATACATATGCCTCTGACGCCTTAACATTCATGTTGTTGTCGGGTCCACTCCCTATATCAACAAGACCTTCATCCCGCAAAGTCTTTCGATTGAAACACGTTTGTTGTCTTATTGCCATTTCATCGGCTATCAATGCGCAAATCATATTTTTATCTGATTCATTTCTTTTAACTTTTAATATTTTAAAAGCATCTTCTGTCAAACCCGGGGAGCCATCAATATTTAAATACCATTTGGATAAAGTTTTTGGGTGTGGGAGGCAAGTCTCAAATTTATTTCTGACGTAGCTATACGCCTTTGGAGATAAAAAGTGTAATGTTAAACAAAATTTTCTAAATTCTGGAGCATACTTTTTAATCGGTCTCTTGGACCCTTTTAGCTTTTTATTCATACTGGAATATAGATCCGCAGCAAACACATTATCATTTAAAATATTATAAGTGTCGTTGTCGATATATCTCTCTTTTTTTAGCGTCCCAATAATTTGTTTAAAAGAAGCTATTTTCTTTTTAAGCCGTAGGTTTTTACGTCTTAAGGATTGGATCTTTAGAGTTTGTTTTTTTTGTAACCGTATTCTTCTTCGTAATTCTTGACGCAATTTAATTTTTTTTGGAGTATCGAAAATAGATTCAAGATCAGAAAAATCATCAATGATATCACTTTCATTTTCTTTTTTCCGTCCATCTCCGATTTTACTATCAGTTGCTTGCCCAGGTATATGACTACTAGCACTGGCAGATTCTATGCCCGTAAAATTGCTAACGTTGATGTTAGAAGTTTCCATACAACAAGAAGAAGCATATTGATTATTTTTTGTAGCACGTAAAGATCCGTCTTCATTGGATACCAAAATTTTCTGAAAATAAAACTTAGTTTATGTATATTGCGTAATACAAACTAAAATCTTACAATTTATTATAGTAGACGGCTATTCAGAAAAACTGCTCTAAAAATTATCAAACACACGAAGGAAGAGAACCTTGAATACACACACACTTTCTTATTTGATTCAAAACTATTTTTGTAAAAAATAAAACTTACTGCATCATCGAAAACATTTGTTACACAATCGCTCTTTCTTCCCGTTTCTTCAATTAAGCTGTTACTTTCATCGTCATCTGTTTCTAATGACGTTAAGAATAATGCCTGTAAAATATAATAAAATAAAAAAATCGGCCAATTGCGAGACAAACTTGTACATTATGGATATTTTCTTGGAACAAAAATGTGTAAGTATAAAATTACCTTGCACGGGATAGCTTCCTTTTTTAACCTTTGACGACTTTGGTTGTTGGCAAAATACAGGTCTTTGGCACGGAAATGATCAGAGCAAATAACTGCTGTTTTAGATGGTTGCCAGAGATCCTCTCCGCGGCTTTCTCTTATAATTTCTATCCACTTACTTCTTAAAATAGGATCTTTAGGTATTCTGTAAAAAAAATATGAATTAAAAGTTTAAACAACAACGGCTTTAGCACTTAAACCTTTCTCAGGTTTTATAATTTTAATAGGTAAACTTCAATTTTATTACAGTTAGTGTTTAATCCTTTATTTTTATAGTACGTAGAATACATTACACAAATTGTTTTAAATTAAATAACGCTCACATGGGAAATGTTTCATTCAATTAACAGGCAACCCTGTAAATCTGTCGTCAAAATGACGCTACATCTTTAGGTAAAATTTCACTTTATTAATTTAATTTTCCTTTATATTATAGTTATTTATAGTATACTTACCGATGATAGGTAACTTTTTTGGTTGTTTTCAATCGTCCTTTGTAATTCCTGCACACTTTTATAGCGCAAATCGTCATTTTTAAATACCACTGAATATGTGTTTACCGTACGATGACAGTGTCGCCACTGAGCGGGCGGGACGAGCTTATAAGCCAACAGTTGGCTGATATTTTTTTGGACGTTTAGACGCTCGGACTCTCTATCTAGACATGTATATAATCAAAGATCACAACCTTCCTCAAGCAGAACGCAGTAGTACTGGGCTTGGGCTACTGGGCGTTTTATTCAGAAACACTTTTAAAAAACAGTTTGTCAAAGAAAAACGAACGAACAGTTTCTCGAAGATCCAACATTAGGTTTAAAAACGAACGAAATGAATACAGTCCTACATTTCATTCTCGGAACTTTTTCAATCGCAAAACGTTTATAAACTACATGCTCGTTTGATAGATTCATAGGTTGGATCTAAGTTAATACTCTATTATTATTACTTTATGAACTCTTGTCGTATAAATAGAGAACAGTTATAGTAACTACTTTTGATTTGACGTTACGATTAAAGCTAAAATAAATCTTATTTATATTTATACACAATTCAAATTTGGTTGTAGACGGTTGAACAAAAACGAAAGGACCGAGAAAAAACGGTATTTTCGGCTTCCTCTTTTTTTATGTAAGTGTTTGTGAAGGTCATTGAAGTAATATGTTACGCTACTCTGTGTTCGCGCGGTTGGTTTTTTTATCATAGAATAAACATAGCTAGAATGACCCGTAGGTAATAATAGTAGATTGTATTGTTAAATAGGTAAATTATATCGAGAACAATTTTGTCATTTATTTTGTATATTATATTTGCTTATTTAATATAATATTACATAACATTATATCACAATTACATTTTAATTATATTTTTATCTGAATATTTTAAAAGGTAATTTAATTAAGTCAAATATAAAAAAATACTAAATGTATATTTAATAAAACTTATTAACATAACATTTAAATTAAAAATATTTAAATTAGAATAAAAGTCGTTCATAAATGCTGGGCACGCGAGAGTTAAAATATGGACGAATTTATACCACTTCGACTTTGATGTGGGAACCTAAAAATAAAATAAAAGAATAATAAGCAGATTTGAACATGAAAAAATTTGCCAAATTATAATAACTTACATACGTTTCTACAAAAAAAATATGTATAATAATATATTCGTCCTATACTTAAGTACCCACAGAAATGTCGCATCTTAACATATTCATTTCATAATCTATATTCCATGACACAAGATGTTGTCTTAGGAATAGTTTGTTTTATTATTAATACATAATACGTTTTTATTGACTAAGTATCTTATTAACCGATGAAAAGTAATTCCTTGATTTTTACTGACATTTCTTGAATTATTTGTGCAATATCTAAGTACACACGACGACATATTTTTATCAAGAGATATTTTTTTAAATCAACACAACACGTGACAACTCTATCAGCGCCTAGCGAGTGACTGATTAAAGTGCGGTGTATGCACCGCAGTTGAGTGGAACAGAGTAGCTGAATGCAGTGTCGCCTCTAGTACGTAGTACATAATAGCTCAATGGCTTGGTCAAACGTACGTGTTTTGTTTTAAAATTTAAATCAGTTTCAGTTGTCGTCAAGTAACGCTTGTCTACGCTTACTGTGTTAGCTAATTTCGAATTTGCAAAAAAGTGACTGTAATGAAATAATACTAATTTTTACGGAATTTATCGCGTATATTTAACTTTTTTACCCCACGTTTCGAGAGCTTTACAGCACCCATGGTCACGGGAAGGACTGAGATGTTCAACGTCCAGCTGTCATAGTTAACCGCGGTTACCATAGATTAAAATTTAACTTTTGTTCCGATCTACACAGTATGAACTTATGGTATCATGGAGTTTTGCAGTTGTATGCTTGGGTTGGGATTTAATTTTATTTATTATAGGATCCCAAGCAGATGGTAGCAGCCAGCCATCTTCTCTATTGAAATTAGGATGTTTTTTGATTTCAATAGCCTCGCGAATCATCCTTGGAAGGAATCGGTGTTCTTTAGCGAGGATTTGTGGTCTATCAAATCTGATGTAGTGACGGGGGCGATCCTGTACATGTTCACAGACTGCAGACTTCCCGGAGCGTCGATTCTTCACATCAGCTATATGTTCTTTGACGCGGGTTTTAATTGATCTTTTAGTTTGTCCTATGTAGGAGAGACCACATTCACAATCAAGCTTGTACACTCCTGCATCTTGCAGAGGGACGTTACACTTGACTGATGGTAAAAACTGACCAATCTTCTTCGGCGGCTTGAAGTATGTTTTGATGGAAGCGCGCTTCAAGATGTAGCCAATCTTGTCAGTGACTCCTCTAACATACGGCAGTACAGCAGGTACACGCTCGACTGTGGCCGGCTTCACTCGTTCTCTGTGACGTAGGCGCGGGACCCGAAGCTTGTTGTCATGCAAAACTTGCTTGACATGTTGGAGCTCGGCAGCCAGGTGTTTACTGTCACAGATCCCTCGTGCTCTCTGAAACAAAGATTTACCCACGGTAGCTAACTGTGAAGGATGGTGGTGAGAATCACCGTTTAAATATCTATCTGTATGGGTCTTTTTTCTATACACAGTATGGCTCAAGGTGTTATCAGGATTCCGAATTACTAACACATCTAGAAAAGCTAAGGAATTGTTTGCCTCTAACTCCATTGTGAACTGAATTTTAGTATTTATAGAGTTAAGATGGTCTAAAAATGCAGTTACTTTATCTAAAGGTAGAATTGTGAAAGTGTCGTCTACGTACCGCTTGTAGAATCTTGGATTTATGGGAGAAGTAAGCAGGGCTTTCTCCTCAAAGTCTTCCATGAATATGTCGGCGACAATGGGAGATACAGGTGAGCCCATCGCCACACCATCTACTTGCTTGTAGAACTCCTCCTTCCACAATAGGTAGCCAGATGTAAGGCAGTGTCTGAGTAATACTGCATATTCTACGGGCATGTTGTTTTCTTCCAGCCTTCTAGTTACAATTGAGATGCAGTCTTCAACAGGTAAGCACGTAAACAATGACTGCACATCAAAACTGACCATAGTTTCATTGTCTGCCAGACGTAGGTCTTTAATCTCGCTGACAAAATGGTAGGAATCCTTTATGTGTGCTCTTGTATGTCCCCTGAGCGGTGAGAGTATTTTCGCTAAGTGTTGAGCCAATCTGTAAGTTGGTGAATCGATTTGGCTCACTATGGGGCGTAATGGAGCATTGGGCTTGTGTATTTTTGGTAACCCATACAACTTTGGTGATTTGGCGCACGTAGGTATTATCCATTTTACGTCCAGATTTAATTTTTCGGAGTGTTTTTTTATGAGGTCACTAGTTGTTTTTAGTGTGCTGTTTGTTGGGTCGTTTTTAACCTTTTTATAAGTACTTACATCCGACAAAAGTTCTTGCATTTTAGAATTATAATCTGACGTATCCATGACCACCGTGGCGTTTCCCTTATGTGCGCGGAGAATCGTAAGTTCTGGTTTATTGCGTAGGTTCTTTAACGCTATAAATTCGTCTTTGGGAAGATTCGGTTTAGGCACTGAACATCGACGTAACATAGACGAAATGTCTTGACGTATCGCCTTCAAATCTTCTTTCCGCATATTGTTTTTAAATTAACAGTCCTCGACACTACAGATAATTTCTTCGTACGGTAATCTGCTTGGAGTTATAGCGTAATTTAGTCCTTTGGATAACACCTTTATTGTTGCATCATCCAGTGTTTGTTTTGACAGATTATAGAACGCGATTGATCTATGATCTGTGTTTGTCAATGGTTGCTTTTGGTTCTGGCATTGATTCGGATGTTTGACATTTGATTTGGCCGTTAATTTTTGATATTTTTCTATATGTTTGTTTTTGCATTCGTTATATTTACTAATTTCGACAACCATTGACAAACACAGATCATAGATCAATCGCGTTCTATAATCTGTCAAAACAAACACTGGATGATGCAACAATAAAGGTGTTATCCAAAGGACTAAATTACGCTATAACTCCAAGCAGATTACCGTACGAAGAAATTATCTGTAGTGTCGAGGACTGTTTATTTAAAAACAATATGCGGAAAGAAGATTTGGAGGCGATACGTCAAGACATTTCGTCTATGTTACGTCGATGTTCAGTGCCTAAACCGAATCTTCCCAGAGACGAATTTATAGCGTTAAAGAACCTACGCAATAAACCAGAACTTACGATTCTCCGCGCAGATAAGGGAAACGCCACGGTGGTCATGGATACGTCAGATTATAATTCTAAAATACAAGAACTTTTGTCGGATGTAAGTACTTATAAAAAAGGTTAAAAACGACCCAACAAACAGCACACTAAAAACAACTAGTGACCTCATAAAGAAACACTCCGAAAAATTAAATCTGGACGTAAAATGGATAATACCTACGTGCGCCAAATCACCAAAGTTGTATGGGTTACCAAAAATACACAAGCCCAATGCTCCATTACGCCCCATAGTGAGCCAAATCGATTCACCAACTTACAGATTGGCTCAACACTTAGCGAAAATACTCTCACCGCTCAGGGGACATACAAGAGCACACATAAAGGATTCCTACCATTTTGTCAGCGAGATTAAAGACCTACGTCTGGCAGACAATGAAACTATGGTCAGTTTTGATGTGCAGTCATTGTTTACATGCTTACCTGTTGAAGACTGCATCTCAATTGTAACTAGAAGGCTGGAAGAAAACAACATGCCCGTAGAATATGCAGTATTACTCAGACACTGCCTTACATCTGGCTACCTATTGTGGAAGGAGGAGTTCTACAAGCAAGTAGATGGTGTGGCGATGGGCTCACCTGTATCTCCCATTGTCGCCGACATATTCATGGAAGACTTTGAGGAGAAAGCCCTGCTTACTTCTCCCATAAATCCAAGATTCTACAAGCGGTACGTAGACGACACTTTCACAATTCTACCTTTAGATAAAGTAACTGCATTTTTAGACCATCTTAACTCTATAAATACTAAAATTCAGTTCACAATGGAGTTAGAGGC